GCTGAGCCATGCCGAGAACCCAGGACTGCATTTCTCCTTCACCGGCGGCCTGGGGGTGCTACACAAACCCATGGGTGGTTGTCAGGGAGACCACTGATGGTGATCCGGAAAAGGGGCTGGGAAGAATTAGAACAGACCAGTGTGGTCACTGCGAGGCCCTGGGCCTGCACACTGATGTCCCTCCCCCTTCACATCGGTTTCTGTCACTGAGAGAATGAAGTTTTTGCCTAATTCTGATTGCTCACTGCCATCGAGTCAGCTCTGACTCAGTAACCCTATAGGATAGGGTAGAACTACCCCTGTGGTTTTCTGAGGCTGCAACCCTTTACAGGAATAGAAAGCCTCATCTCTCCCCCACAGAGCAACTGGTGGTTTCGAACTGCTGACCTTGTAGTTAGCGGCCCAACACATAACCACTACACCACCAGGGCTCCTAAACAAAATACTGGCCAAGCAACGCTGACCATGCACAGAGAGAGGAGTGTATCACGGCCACACGGAGTTTGTTCTAAGAATCCAAGAATGGCTTAGCAGTCCAAAATCGATCCATACATATTTCACCACATTGACAAGCGAAGACAAGTCATGGGGGCATCTTGATAACCCCCAACAACGTTCATGCTTTCCTTTAGACAGAAACTCCCAGAGAAGTGGAAAATTCCTAACCTGAGCATAGCAGATCTATGAGAGATCTGCAGTAAACGAGTGTAAATTACTGAGCGCTCCACCCCAGGGTCAAGGATGAGCCAAGCCTGCCCGTCATCTACTCCCACACAGTAGTGCCCGGGTATGTGCGTAGTTCCAGCCAGGACAATGAGCCAGAGGGTAGAAACGGAAGATCTACAGGGGAGGAAAACCTCCGAGCGGCAGGAGAAGGTAAGGCAGACGCCGCTCGGAGTTAACAAGTGGGTCTGGCAGGGCCGTGGATATACACTCAAAATGACGAGCTCTAATAACATAAAACGCCAAACATTTAGTAATAAACCCATTGAAAAACGTGAAAACCCTTTTCACTGAAATCAGAAAAATGTTACAGGCCAACCATTTAAAAGCCATAAACAAATGGAAGAATACGTCGTTGTCCCGGATGGGAAGACACAGTATTTTAAGAAGGCCGATTCTCCCCTGCGGGAGAAAGAGGGGGCTTTCTACTCCCGCTAAGAGTTACAGTCGCCCACCAATACAATGCTTCTAAAAGACAAATAATATGCAGGGTAGCAACGATGAAACATATAAATTTCCTCTAGTTCTTAAATGCTTCCTCCCCTCCCCACTATCATGATCCCAATTCTACCTTACAAATC